AATTAGCCGTAATTAGCCTGAGTCTGCGAAACTTGGCCTGCGTCTGGTCTCAAAAGGATGTTGCCTCTTTAGATGGGCGCAGTTGATCCTAAGTTGGAGGCTACAGTGCCAACATTTTATCTTGTCATCTTTTGGTGATACCAGAACATCTTGGAATGAATTTGAAAAATGGTTTTGCAAGCAGCCCCTCCACACTGCAAGCGGTGACGCCCGCCCGCAAACTAAACATCGACGCCTCCTGTTGGTCCTTCTCTGACCTTTTTGGGGCTGCTCCGCCCATTCCCCCCGTTCAGGTAAAGCCAAATTGCCTGCGCCAAGCCGTTGGCAGGAGATGTGGTTGTCACAGCGGCAGGCGGCGGACTTGGGCCTGCAGGCGGCCGCTGCCGCTTCCCTCAGCCGAGGCGTTTGGCTGGCCCAGCACTGCCATCAGTGCGCACAGCAGCAACCACCAGCGCATCATCAGGCGGCGAAATTTAGATCTAAATTCTCAGAAGGAAACGTCAACGCACGGTAGGCTTAGACTTCTCCCTTCAGGGCAGGAAACGCGGCCTCCTTCCTGAGGGAAAGTTTGATAAAAATAGGAGACGCCCATGTCTAAATCATTCTGGGCCCCATTTCAGAGAAGACAAACGTACTTCCTTGTGCATACAGCAGGAGACACGCGCCGGCTTATTTTACGTTACACATTTGCAGACGGTTCCATGGGAAACACTTTTACTCCCTCTTTCTCTTCGCATCTGACCCTCCTTCACTTCTGACTTAGGAATCACAAACCTCCTTTATTACAGCCTCACCCCGTGAAGCTCCATTTCACTAACTTCGGCTGTTCGTTCGCGGTGTGGGCGGCTGTCGACGCGAAGCGCCTTGAATTAAATGTCCGGTGTCTCCGCAGCACGTTCGGATAACAAGCAATCGACTGACTCTTCACACGGATGGCGGAAGCTGTGTGTGTGTGGTTCTTGTTGTAAAGCCTCATCATCTTCCAGGCTCACATCATTGAATGCCAAAGCATGTAGCGTGTTGGTATCGATCAGTCCGTAAGCAAACAACACGAGTTCCTTTTCCTCTGTCACTTCACGAAGAGCCACCACTGGACATCCGGCATGCATATGGTGATGTGGAACCTTGCGTAGAAGTTTTTCAAAGCTAGGGACGTAATTTCCATTGGGCGCCAAACAAGGCTCCATGTAGCGGAGATCAAGTTCCATGACCTCTTGGTATTCGTTGCCAAGCAACACAAAAGCAAAACCAAAAAGCTGAGAAGAAAATTGCCTGGATCAGTAGCGCAAACAAAAAGCTAAATGAAATAAAGGACCAGATAACCCCACGTCTATAGTTTTCACAAGTCTGTATTATGTTATGTAGCACAAAGAGATGTCCGTGAAGGTCGTGTTCGGTCAACCTGTTTTCTGCGCAAGACAAGTTATGTGGCCAGCACGTCGTGACATCTGACATCAGGATGAATCGGAACAGCCCCAGCAGAGATCGAAGTTGCGCGTGCCCTTTCGTAGATGAAGTTCGTTTTTGATCTTGCTGTAACAAAACCGCGTTCTCTGTAAAGTTTTTGGAGAGGGAGTCAGAGTCCAAGAGAGGCAATTGCGCAGCATCGACTTGTCGTGGCATGGACCAGCTAAACAGAATATGCGTTCAGATCGCATGTAGATTGGATGCGTCGTTGGCAATAGTGCTGCCAGACCTCCTCTTCTTTCAAAAAGCGATCGCAGAGACAAAGCACACAAAAGAAAGTCAGTGAGAATACTTCTGACCGCCACCCAAAACAGGAAGACAGTCAGCAAGAGGGCCAAACAAATCTGACACGCTTGAGACGTATATCTTCGGCAGTCGAACGCTGTAGGCAAATAATATATGATGCGTTTGTATTGTCATATACACGAGCTTTTTTGAAGGACAGATTACCACCGAAACTGGAAGATCATGCTCCATAACACCGTGTTAGAAGGCAAGCGAAAGCAGACCATCTTTTCTCGCAATAATTGCATTGCAGTGCCTCGACATTGCCTGTGACTGTGGCTGCCGCATAAAGCATCTCATCTTCACGTGTGCAAAAGTCTACCAAAGGACATTTCGCTTCGGACTCATTGGCCCCATCGAGATCCACGTCAGAATTCTGATCCTTCCGTATACCTTTGGGTGTTTCATCCTCCTCTTCTTCTTCTCTTTCTTCTTCTTCAAGCTCCTCAAAAGTCTCGTCGTCCTTGGTCGCATGGCTAATAATAGCAAACAAAACCACAAAACAAAATCAACAGTAAAAGGACCGGATAACCCCACCTGATAAGTTTTACAAATTTCAAATGTATATGAACATCACATGGGAGACGGAGTAGTGAGATGAAAAGTCAAGAACGAAGTGTGAGGAGAGAAGGTATATGAGGCGGTTGCGCTAAGACGTGTAGTATAAGTGATGATGTGATGGACGAGGATGAGAAGGAGGGGAGGGAGGAGGTGTGTGTGTGTGGTAAGATGGCGTGCGTGTGTGTGTGTGTGGGTGTGTGATAAAGTGTCTGATGATGTGACGAACAAGGATGAGAGGGACGAGAGAGAGAGAGAAGGAGGCGGAGAGAGAAGTTTGGAGGCTCTGGATTTTGCGATCAGATCCGCATGAGACCTTCAAAACGTAACACACTCGAAACGACCATCAAAGCTATCAAGTGGTCTTATCCCGACCACAGCGGGCAGTGCTAGCAGGATGTAAAGCAAGAAGAGGTGAGACACGCTTTTTTCTGTCACGCAGAGATGTAGAGTGAGCTCCAGGCAGGACCTGAGCTCCGGTCAACTCGCACGATTAGTCAGTGAGTTCAAACCGAATATATTTTCAACACTGAAGGCTTCCCAAACGACTGGCTCAAGATGTCTGAAGCTTCCCAGCTCGTGATTTATGCTTGGCGCCTTTTCTTTTCGTCCGTTGCAAAAACTTCAGCAGGAAGCATGGCAGTCTGCCCTGAGCCCCAGCGTTTGAAAACCCGTGAGAAAACACTTGCAATCTTCGAACACCAAAGCCGCCTGCTTTGCAAGCATTGATATTTCAATGTTATCAGCTTGAAAAAACACGGAGTCTTCCAATTCGAGGAGAGCAGCCTCGACGTGTTTTCGAGTTTCAGCAAGCCTCACGTCATGGCCGCCGAATTCGTCACGGCAACGGCTCATCATGGATGCATCATCTGGGCAGGGCTTCTGACAGGCAAAGAAACCTTCTGGCGGAGGCCTAGCATCTGGCCACGTGAAGGCACCATCATCAGACTCAAGGGCGCAACGCGCTGCGACAACCACCAATTGCACGCTTTGTAATATCGTTCTTTGTTTGACGCAGGCTACGATCCTCAAGCATCCTACAGCTGCTTCCTTGATGATCTCCAAGCCGTCCGAAAAAACGAATCTCGTGACTTGAACGCGGCGGCGTGCTCAACGAGCATGGCCACTGATTCTCGCTTGGGTACGGTCATCACATCGCTAGAAAAGGCTGCGGAGAGCACTGCACCCAGCAAAAGTAACAAAAAAGGGCTTCCCAGTCAGGCTATACTGCAAGTCACATGTCGCAAAACATCAGAAGTGTCGATGTCAGAAACGAACTTCGTCAGCGTCAATTTTTTTTGAGAAACGAACTCCGTCAGTCGTTATGCAACGCAAAGCAGCGTTGTTTTCTACTCCTTTCGCAGCAGCGTATCGCCACAGTCTGTCCAGCTCGTCACGTCGACTCGCCGGCATGCAAGCTCACAGTTCTTGAACTGCAGCAAAAATGCGAGGTCTTACAAAGGAATTTAGGTTCTTCTCCCAAGTACGCAATGCCCAGAAGACACGCGGCCGATGCTTCCACGGGTGAAGCGTGGGACGGGCCGTCAACAAGCTCTGTACAGCCGCTTCCGCTGAGAGCTGACGACGAAAGATCAACCACGCGCACAATGCCGCTGAGCTGCGGTTGACCCCGCCGAAGCAATGAAAGAGGATGCCTCGTTCTTCTCGCTGAGTCGTTGCCTTCAAGTGCTTCAGAAGAGCGCAGCACATGTCCATCCACGATGACAACCAGGCATTTCCCACTTCTTCACAAAAAGTATTGGTGTCATCCAAGTATGTTCTGGGATCGTCCACGTCGAACGTAAACCACCGAATCTTGAGATCTTCAAACCATGCTTTCCAGCCCACCTCTGGCTGCCCACGAATACGTTTCATCTCCCGTGGACAAAAGCTCAAGACAACCGACACCTTGCGACAGGAAAGTGGGACAGTTTCCTGGTGAGTCCGGAGATGGCGAAAGGGAGCCAAGCTCCCGAGAAAGTAGATCTCAGGCTGTTCCAAAGACATCATCTCCCCAGGAAGTATTTCACAGATGTCATTTGGCCAATCTGAAATATCACCGAAATGATATTGGTGCGCTGCCAAAAGCCGGTCGAGTGTTGGCTGATCCTCGATCGGCATGTCCAAGCTGCTCTGAATCATCCGTTGCAAAGCAGCGCAGGCAGCAGACATCGCATCGTCGTATGGCTCCATGTTGCACGGGTTACGTGTTTCGAGCCTGGATCTCACGGATGGTCCGCTCAAATGCTCTCTGATGTTCTCTGACATACAGCTGCAGGCTCACAAGTTCATTGACCAAGTTACTTGATGTTGGTCTCTATCGCTAGGGCGCGGTCATCATGTCGCTCAAAAGCGGAGGTCACTGAATTGCACCCCCCATTTAAAAAAAAAAACGCCCCAGCCAAGCCATACAGCAGGTCACATGTCACAAAGCATCCGGCATGTCAATTACACGATCGAACTCCAACAACAGAATGGAAATGCGAAGCAGCGGTGATTTTTTGATCTTCTCGCAGCAACGTATCGCCATAGTCTGTCAAGCTTGTCACGTCGACTCGCCAAACCAAAGCGGCTGCGCTGAAGCGACCCAAGTATGCAAAAGTTTGATGACATCACATAGTCACCGGCGATCACAGATCACAGACGAACAGTGGCTCAACAAGCAACAAGTCTTATCAACACATGTCTTATCACAGTCTCAGCACGCCACTACGAGGAGTCCATCGGCACATCTCCGCTGTGCCAGGCATCGCTGTCTCGGGCATCCCATCACGCAGACCTCGCAGGCGTTTCAACGGCGTCTCCCAATCCTTGTCAAACTGAAAGCCTGCCTCTTTGGATTCAGTGGCGCTGAGAAATTCCCAGAAAGCTGTCACTTCAGGAACTCGTTCTTGCACGACCGGCACATGCCACAAAACCGAGTATTCTTCAAAACTGTCGGTCTGGCCAAGGACAACTTGGAAGACTTGACCTGCGGATCCTCGGAGCATCCAGTTCACGGCCGAAGCAGGTCCAGCACAACGGAGCTTGGCCCGAAAAGGCATGTCCGAAGCGTGCTTCGACAACAGGCAATCCACAGACCTCTTGACACGAATGGCCGAGGTCGTGTTTGGCTCCTGCTGCAAAGCTTCATCATCTGCCAAGTCGACCTCGTTGAAGGCAACCAAAGCCCGCATTTCTGTTCTTTGTCTTCTGTCACATCACGAAGGGAGACCACCGGACAGCCTGCGTGCATATGATGATGTGTCACTGGGCGTTGCAACAACTCCGGCGAGGTTGCGGCAACTGCCTCACGTGTTGTGACCAAACAAGGTTCCAGATGCCGAAGATCAAGTTCCAGTACTTCTTGGTATTCATTGCCACGGAATGTGAAATGACAAGTCCATTGAGCACTTCGAAACATATCACGAAGCTGCGTTCTCAAAGTCCGCGTGTCCTGCAACGGTGTGGTCAGCTCAACGTTCAGCAGCTTGGCAACAGCCAAAATACCTTCATGATAGATCATCAGGCTGCACTGTGCATTCGAGTCTGCCACCGTGAGTCGCAGAGCAAGTCGACGCTCCGTTGGCGCAGTGGCGTGCGCCTGCATAGCTTCGGAACCAGTTTGACATAGTTGTGGAATATTATGAAGAAATGTTATAAACATGGACCATTCGAAACCGTCAAGAAGAAAAAGAAATATACACTACACACCATTCTCCAACCAGGCCTGACATGGAGCTGCGCGTTTGCAAGTACTGCAGCTGTCCAGAATCCATTCATCGGTTTCGGAACGCACCGACGTGATCCCCATGACCTGTAGGCCAACGACTTCGAACACAGTCTCCACTTTCCTCAACGCTCCGGGGACGACGACTCCCATGAGAGCACTCAACGAGGTCGCAACAGCTGGACAGTTCTTGTAGTCCTTGACAGGAACATTGGTCAACATCTGGCAGGCCTCCTTGTCAGCCAAAGTTGCGGTCCTAGGCATTCACACTACAAGAGGTCACAACATCTGTAACTGTCTAGGCGATACACAGCAAAGCAAAGATACCCTATGTATTCAAAAGCAAAACCAAGACACATTTGATCTGCCAAATCGCGCGGACACGAATGTGTGGCAGCACAACCAACCATATCACAATACAAAGGCCTTCAAATGTCCAATGTCCATCATGAACATCACATGAACCTTACGTTTGGTCGCGCCTCCAAGGGAATCAAAGGCCATCTCTCATGATATCGAGCAACTCCAATGAGTTGCCAAACTGCATCCGGATTCTGCATGAAACATTGATCCCCTTGCAAAAATACATCTTTCAGATCTTCCATCCAAAATGATCGAACACAGAAAACACAGGCACATCGACGTCGGAGAAAATCTTCCACAGCAGCTCCTGGTTGCGACATGGCCTCAACAAGAGACTTTTCCCAATCCATTGCTCCCAGTTGCAAGAAAGTCGCATAGTTGCTCGCATAATGTCTCACCTGTCATCAGCGTGACTGCACCAGAACATGCCCCACCATCACGAAACATATCATTTGCACTCGAACATCGAAATTTTAGAATAGTGACCCATAACTCTCACCTCCTGAGCAGTGACCACGTGAAGACATAGAGATTCCAGGAACCAACAGGCATTTCGATAACGTTGGAGACCACCATGAACAGCATCAACATGAGCAATAAAAGCATCACGATGTTCGAAGCCTTCCTGACACAGCAAACAAGGCTGCGCAGCCACTGCCGTAGGTTCATGTAGCCATTCACGCAAATCCTCTTCTGCATGATCACGCCGTAGCGGAAAGGCACACACAAACCTATTGAATGGATTGTCTTCATCATTGACTCTATCACTTCTGTGACCAGACATGTTGTTCGACCATGCAGTGCTGCCCAGGATTCTTTCTTGTCGGCCTCTGACATCTCTCGCTCGATCATCATCTCTTCGTTGCCGCTTTCTGTCCCCCTCTGTCCGATCCTCTGTCCGATCAACACGATTTTGTTGCTGTTTCCGACCAGGACGATTTTCTTGCTGCTTCCGACAGGTCCTTTTCTCTTTCCGCTCAGCACGCTGCTGTTTCCGACCAGGACGATTTTCTTGCTGCTTCCGACAGGTCCTTTTCTCTTTCCGACCAGTCCGTTTCTGTTTGCGACCAGCACGACTCAATGCTAACTTGCTCACCGTCCAGTGTCGGTGTGACCTCGCTTCCCCGCCAGCAGCTGGAGGTTCAGTTCTGCGAACCACTCGCCTTTGCCAGTCAGAAGAGAAGAATCACCTGTCACTGCTGCAGCCAACAAAGCCGGTAAACGAGCCAACAAGGCCCCCGGGCTGAAGAACACGCTGCAGGCTCGACTCGTCCCTGCCATCGCAGTGTCTCCAGGAAGATCAGACTGGGCCACCTACCAGTCATTCCACCTTCCAAACGACTGACAACAGAATCATCGCACTTCCTCCAGCCGCTTTTCTGTCTCACATAAGCAATGAAATGACCTGCATGAAGTTCCACGAAACATGTCACAATGTAGCACACATGGCGACGGTCCTGGCGAAAGTCGCAACCACAAGCATTCAGCAGAACCCCCCCCTCCCCAAAAAATCCAACAGCTTCAAACGAAACTTAACACCAAATCTGGTTTCGTCATATTTGCCCGTGGCCTCTTTTCCAGAGTGAGCCAGTAGCTGCGTCCAATCGATCGCAGCGCCCTCCCGGCTGCCGTCCAGTTGCAGAATGACGGCATCCGAGTTGGGCCAGCCGTGTGGAAAGTTGGCCCGCATCACCTCTTCCACAGTGATTGCCCGATGCTCCACATCCATCGGCATGCTGGTCATCATGTACAAGCCGTCAGCGTGTTCGATACCACCTGCCACACAGATTGCACCACCATGTCTCAACAAGCAAACACAATACACTCTTAAACGACGAAGTGTCTTCATTCACACGTGCAGTTCACTTGTCAGACATATCCCGTTTCCGTCCCCCTCTCCCCTCTGCCTGTGGCTTCCGGACTGCTCACATATAACCCGCAGTCACTGATGCAAGTCTCAAGCAGGATTTCGCAAATGAACATCAACTTCACATGAAAGAAACATAACATCAAACCATGTTCGTGTGCCAATACACCCCCCCACCCCCCCCCCCCCCAACCACGAGCGACATCCAAAAACTTGACATGAACCTCTCGGAAACATGAACCTCTTGGAGAACCCCCCGTCTGGAGGGTCATAGTATTCCATAATTCCATAGTAATTATTTCCCACAACAAGCGGACCAAGGGGCACATGAGCGGGCACCCCTTTGCACAACTAAACGATGGTTCAATGTGTTTTGATTCCCCGGACCTTGCTTTAGCAATCCTGCTTAGGAACTCTCGCCTTCCTGCTAGGCCTTAGGAACTCTAATTACGGAACTCTTCACTCTTCATCGATCTGCATCAGCGCTTGGTCAGCCTGTCCTGCAGGCGCGTCCAATAGCTTGTAAAGCCTTGGGACTGGGCGGAGGCACGCGCAAAGAAGTGCCGCGTTTCAACGCCTTCCCGGACGCTGCCGCACTGATCCTGCGTTCACGACATGTGACGGGTCGGGCCTTGAGGCCTCCCAAAGGCCGGGTTGATGTGGTTGGGTCAGTTATGGCATTTTGTGTCAAAGAATGCTCAAGGGAGGCCTGGACTGAGCACCCCATGTGTTTGTGCCCTCTCCGCCGTCCTGCAGTTCCATTGGAGGAGTCGCCACCCGGTGCGGAGAGCTCTGCCAATCGAGTGGACACTCGTTGTCCTGGAGGACTCCTGCCGTCAAAGGCTTTCATTGGGCAGATGGTGAAACCGGCAGGGCGATGGCGATCGGCATGAAAAGGGGCGATGGGGTGGTAATGCGTGGTGGTCTTCCTGCGTGGTGAAACACAGCTACGCCCCGTATGTCGCACCGTGCGTCAATCGTCCAAAGGCCTCCGTGGACGGCACTTGAGTGGCCCATTGAAGGGAGAGTCAATGGCATTTGAGAGACCCCCTCAATCTGGAAGTTCCCCCAACATTTCGCACCACTGTTCATAGACAGTTTCCTGTGCATAGTTGCACCACCTGGAACATCGAAATGACCAAGTCATTCGTTCAAATCAACCAAGTCTCCTTCCCCGGGTCCTTTCCCGAGAAAAAATAAACAAACTCCGCCTCCTGCACGCAGCCGTTGGCTAGTATCCAAGAAGTAGGGCGGCCACGCCGAGTGGGGTCTAGCCATTGAACATGGCGCGGTTGTTTGGTTGTTTCAATTCGGTCGATTTACGGCCTCACTCTGTCATTGCTTGGATTGGCTGAAGGCGACTTCTTCACTGAAGAATCGTGCATTGGGACGATTAGTTGACACGGCGTTGACTGTGTTGATGCTGATGTACATGCCTTGATTCTCAACAAAAATAAAGCTGAGGATCTCAATGTCCACCTTTGAAGTTGACTTCGAAACATCCCATGTGCTACATTGTTTCGGCGAAAGCCGGCCACAAAGATGCATTCTTGTCATGGTCGCTGTCTAAGCATTCTTGTCATTGTCGCTGGGTGCTAACCACAAAAAAGTGCCCTTCTGAGCATCCAGTGAAACTTTGGTCTATTGACCGAGCCACAGTCGTTGATGTCTTCATCGACAGTCTGACCGGGTCGGTGTATATCACGGATCGAAAGCCGGTCAGACAGAGATCCAAGTCACGAAGGCATTGGAGCCGAAAGCGATCTTTGGGACTTTTATGGTTTCTTTCTCGATCGATACGTGAGTGACAGAAAAAACCACTGTACCTGCCGCAGTGTGACCGGTGTTGGAGTGTACAAACCACCAGGTACCAGGTACGAAACAACCACGACTGCCATGACCGCCACTAACCCTCCCATGCAACTCATAGCGTCAGTCATAGAGTTGCTCAACAGGAGAATCACGAAGAATCTGCGAAAGTCCCTTTTGCCTACTCTATTTGAGAGATGTTGAGGTCGGTTTTGCTCTATGAAGAAGCCCATTTCTTGGGCTCCAACAGTCAAGGTGAGCCCAGTGCCAGCCGCCGTGATGCTCAGCACGGCCACCCGGATGGAGTCTTCCTGGTGTTTGATGCTTCATGCAGTGCGCGGCGCTCGAAACGCACTGAAGCGAGGTCGGGGCGTCTTGAAGTGAACTGATGACAAAACAGCTGAGAGATGCTAAGCGCACAAGTGGGAGGGTACAGTAGTCGAGGTGTTGATGGTTGAGCGATGTGAAGTGTAGAGGTCAAGTGATTGGTCTGTTGATGCAGAGTCTTCGGTTGGTCGGTAGCTTTTTACACAAAAGATACTGTATCAAAAGATCACAAAAGGCAAAGTTGTTTTATGGTGTGGGACATGATCCAATCTTTATCCACCAAGCTGTGAGTCAATGGAATCCAGCTGAGAATCCTTCTCTGAGTGGATCCCAGCACCAATGAAGAAAGTGTTGGCTCCTGATCCAAAGGAATGTGACCCAGAGTGTCAGGGCTGACAATGCCCTGTTCCACACTTGGTGTTCCATTCATCAGGGCACTCCAACAGCCTTCCAGGTGGCCCGCGCTTCACCCAAGCACGGTGTCCATCCCAAATTGTGCCAAGAAGAGGAAGGGAGAAAAAAACAAAAGATGCAAAAACATGCAAAAACTCAACATCCTGGCACTCATCTGCAATCTACCCGAATCTTCCCAAAGTAAACCCTTCAAAATAAAATAACAACAAAACCACGAATACTTTCCCCTGCCCCCATCATCCATCAACCAAGAACACCGGGCGTTTTAGCGGGGCGTCACCTCCTGGAACTGTGACACCAAAGCCGATCGATGTCCCGGCGCCCTGGCGCGGCGACTTCGAATCGACCGTCCGGCGGGATCCGATGGAGATCCGGTGTGATGAAAAGTGTCGTAGCGTAGATGGTTCTTCAGTAGATGATGTCCTCATGGCAAACATAGACTGTACCATAGACCATAGATAGAAAATAACCTTGGAGAAGAACGACTGGATAGTGTCCATTCCGAAGAAGAAATCTTATTCATTCTGCCCATTTCGGTGACAAGCCGACAATTCCCGATCTTGTCTAAGTGACTCGTTTCCATGGATCGGTCAAGCCGAGACCACAGTGGAGAATTCAACAAAAACTCGAGCGGGATCCCACAGCAGCTACACTTCCCCAAGAGGCCACAACACAACAAGAGAGTGACAACATTTGAAGAAAGGACATTCCTGCAAAGGAAATTCCTGTCCCCGTGGCTTCAACCTGCATCTTGCCACAAAAATGGTGTGAGGGCTCAAAACGATCGATCTTTACTGACATTTGCACAGGCTTGACAGTCCCAACATGTGTAATCACCGGCCCAGCAGAATCATGCACCAACTGTCACAAAGCTAGTCAGCTAGTCTCAGCATCTCAAAGATCTAAACCGCCCAGATGCACCAGAATAGAAACAATATATAGAATAGAAACAATAAGCTACTAGGAACAAGTGCATCGCTACTAGGAGCAAGGGCCTTACTAGTAGTAACAAGAAGCTATTAGAAACAATATATATAGCTCTGAACCAATGGGGCCCAGATGCAAACGTTTTGTCTTGACCCGTCCCTCCTGACCCGGGCAGATCCTTCGATGAAAGCTCTCGGCACGGAAACTGTCGGCAGAGCTTTCATCATTCGACTGAAACTGTCGGCAGCACGTGTGCCCATCAATGCCTTACATCTGCGGTCACTCCTCCGTTCTGGGAAGGCGCATATTATCAACACTCTAGTTGAGCACATGAAGAGACAATGTGTGGTGTATCGGGTGCTATATAGACCCCCAAATAAATAGAAAAGCAGATCCCCACTAAAAATGTATTGGAAACCGTTTCTACCTATTTGGGAACCACTACAAGAAATAAAGCCTGCCAACTTCGTCCCCAAAATTCTGAAATCCCACCGGATCCCGAACGAATCGCTGTCCAAACCATCCTGAACGATCTTCTATCGGCGACGGACGGTGAGAAAAACGCCAAGACATGCGGAAGACCATATTGCCTTTGCTTGTAATTGGTGAAGTACGTGTTTCAGTGTCCAACTCCTGCCTCATTTGTATCCCGAGCTAAGTAAATAGTTGGGTGTCCATTTCTACATGATTGCCTTGTCCATCCCCACATCCTGAGATGATGGCGGATGTACCCGAACTTCAATCTCTTGAGCTTCTCCGAAATGGCCTCCGCTGCCGACGAAAGAAACTTCGTTTTGCACCAAGACGATTGAACAAAATTCAAGACCTAAGATCTGCAGATTTCGAATCTTGATACATCTTGACGTCTTGATTTTACCTCCGCTTTCGCCGCTGCGAAGCCAAACACCCAACTGGAACCAAAGTCTTAGGCACCCGGCATCCAGCACCAAATGGTGGTGACCTCGAATCTGCTCAGCTAAAAAGGAAAAATTAACCTCTGTGTTGGACTAGTTGTATACACAGTTGTGTGATGTTTTGGATTGTCATCGCGCCTTTTGTTGCACCATGTTCTCTTACATGTCTCTTCGTATTGATGATGGCGGGTCCCTTCTTTGTTCCTTTGCTTTTTGTCGGGCTCTGTTCAGGCGAGGTGCTTAGGCAAAACCGGTTCTGACACCCGAATGCAGGATTGGACACAACACATTCGACAGCTTAGGGATCCAAACATGGGTTGCCCAAACACGGGACTTGAATTTGGTTGAATTTTGGAAACAGGTTCTGAGTGTGAACCTACCAAGTGAATCTGTGCCCTGTTGCAAATCCTGCAGTCCCATGCTGGTTCGTTGGGCATTCACAAGGACCGGTTCCATCCAAATCGGCGTGGATTTGCGCCCAGAAAAATACAAATGTCTCTTCAGCCTGCGACGGCAAC